TTCAGCATACCAAGACATTTTGGACAATTCCATGCTCCCAACTTTGTGGGAACAGTTTGGAGCTGGCCCCTTCCTCTTCCAACATGACTGTGCACCAGTGCACAAAGCAAGGTCCATAAAGACATGGATGACAGAGTCTGGTGTGGATGAACTTGACTGGCCTGCACAGAGTCCTGACCTCAACCCGATAGAACACCTTTGGGATGAATTAGAGCGGAGACTGAGAGCCAGGCCTTCTCGTCCAACATCAGTGTGCGACCTCACAAATGCGCTTCTGGAAGAATGGTCAAAAATTCCCATAAACACACTCCTAAACCTTGTGGACAGCCTTCCCAGAAGAGTTGAAGCTGTTCTAGCTGCAAAGGGTGGACCGACGTCATATTGAACCCTATGGATTAGGAACGGGATGTCACTTAAGCTCATATGTGAGTCAAGGCAGGTGAGCAAATACTTTTGGCAATATAGTGTATTTAGGTTAAATCTTCTGGCAGCAGGTAGAAATGAAATCTAACAACGTTGTTCTAATATATAGAACCTGTGGATCATCTCATGCGTTCCTCATGTTGATTCAGTCTTCTTTTACACAGTGAAGTGGCTGTTTGCAGCCGCGTACCAGATGTTATCATCCCAATAAATGGCCGTTATAAAAGGCTTTCAGTAGCATAGAATGGCCTCAGATTGTGCCAGTAGGCTCAGTAGGTTGTTATCATCAAGTAATTCCTTTTTGCCCCTGGAATTAATGAATCTGATTACAAGTAAATGTAAATGTACTGTAAAGATAACTAATTAAAAATAAAATGATCCGCTTCTCATTCATATTAAACAAACCAAAAACAATAATCTCATGTCCTGTCAACTGAGGTGTAGAATCCTCTCGCAATAAATATTTAACTCACAGTAAAATAGTGTTAATCATTCTTTAATAAGACATGCAATGTTTGTTTTTAAAACCTAATTGTTAGTATTCCAGTTTGTGTGGGTTGTTTTTTTGTGTTTTCCTCTCTCCACCACCAGGCGGTGCCCTGTCCTCGTTGGGCCCCCCCTGCACACCAGCGGCTCGTTGGGTCATTACCAGAGGAGTACTTGAGCAGCGGGCTGTCACCACCTCAACGCCAGAGTGTTTGCCAGTATTGGGTACTCTAGCCAAACTGAAATTAGCATAGTCTAACCATAGCATTGTTTCTCTGAGTCTGAACTTGTTTTTGTCTCTGTTCTTCGGAAGGAAGACTTCCTGTGTTACTGGATAAGCCTGGACCTTCAACCCATGGAAGGTTTTACAGAGTCTGACTGAGCAAGGGGAAAATTCCACATGATCCGTTCAAGTCCACTCCTGGAAAACCAAGTGACAGCCCGCTCCTTCACTCCTCTGGGTGCAACGTATGTCTGCCTGTCCGCTCTCCAACGAGTTCCCTCTTCTCTGGATTAAACCCCCACAAACTGGATCCAAGGACAAACCAAGAGCCACCAAAAAATGAGTGCCTCTCCAGCAATATTCAAGCCTCAGTCTATTTTCCCACCGTCCCAGAACTGATCAGTTCTGGGACGATGAGTTTCTGGTTCCAGTTCACCAGTCCGCTGAGTTCCACCGTTGTTGCTCCACAGAGTTTCAATCTCCATCAGTATTTGCTAACCTACAATAAACCTGTTAAACTTTTACTCTTGTTCTCTGAGAGGTTCTATGCATGTGGGTCAGATCTTTAAAGCCCATTATGACACTAATGTCTCTAATGGACCTAGTGAATGATATATATTTTTATGCACAAAACTACGACAAAATCTGACTAAAGCAGGAAGTAAAACCAGGTGATTGGCCGTAAGGAGAGTGGAGACAGCCGACACTCTGGGTTTACTGAAGAGAACTGCTATGTCCAGGTTAGCTCTGGGGAGAATGTTACTACGGCGACTGAAACAGAGGTTGAAGAAACTCTCTTTGTGAACCGGAAAAGTCAGAGTTTCCCTGTTTTCATGTTTAGACCACTTTTCTGTAAACCTTCTTTATGAAATGGCTCCCAGGCTCCTCTTCTTCACCCTTCCCTCACTGCCAGCACTATTCAGACTGCATTACACCAACTGCTTAAAGCACTCCTTCTTTGGCTAAAGAAACCTTACAGATTTTATGAATTCGGACGGACCCACAGTAATCTTATTTTATGTTACTTCTAAATCTGGCACCAGAAATAAAATTCCCCCCAAATAAATATTCCTCTCCTTTGCCAACCCTAATCGACCTACAACAGAGTGTGAGGAAAACATTTACATTTTTTTCTTGTACATCATATACCTGGTATATATAGAATAAGCCGATTAGTGAAGAAAAGATTGGAGAGAAAATAAACATGACCCCTCCTCTCAACTCTTACCACACCATGATGTCCCACATTAACCCCTTATCATTGTCTTTATTTTATATTTTCTCATAAAGTTTCTGCAGCAAAGCCAGAGATGCTGAACGTACAGCACCGGGATCTTGTCTCCTGTCCATCACAGATCAAAAAACAGACAAACAATTTTGTTATTATCAACATTAATTTAAAGAAGAATTCACCCAACCAGAAAATGCAGAGTCAGAACCGAACTAAATACTTTGTTCCTGCCAGGAAGCAGAGGCAGTGTCATCCGCCACCGGATTTAAAGACTAATCTTTGAAATTTATTTGAACTCCGTGATTAAATGAGAATCTAAAAACAAAAGTAGGTAAAGCCTCACATTGTTATCAAAACGAGAAGATATGAAGGATTTTGGGGTAAACCCTCATGTAGAGCTGAAGGACAGAAGATGTTACTTTAATAATCAAGGCATCTGATTTTTTAATTATTAAAATGGCTGCGATAAAAGGTTCAAACACAAACAAGAAAATGGGGTAACACTTTAAAATAACCATTTATAAAGGGTAACAAGACCAATTATCACTGATTAACAGTTTATTAATGTTAGATAATTGTTTAAGAACTGCATCTAAACCATTTATAAAAGCTATTTAGATCATATTGTCCTGTTAGATTATCCCTAATCCTAACATCAGTAGATTTAAGACCTGAACCTAGCCTTTATATTTAATTGAACTCTTCCTGTCATGTTGGACTTACCCTTACCTAAGCTATAAATGTGAGGATTGCTGTGATCTACCTTTTATAAATGCAATTAAATGTATCAAACATTAATACCTTTAACATTTGTTTACTTACACAGAAAAGCTTCTTCTGCCCTGAGATCCAACCATCAGCTGTTGCTCACTGTTCCTTTTGCCTGAACAGAACTAGGAAGGAAAGCCTTTAGCTACGCAGCTACTTGTGCATCATATTTTTTACAAAGAAACTGGAAGTTGACTGAGTTTTTATCCTTAAATTATTTTATGTTGAAAGTGAAAGAATTTGAAGCAGCCTCAATTATCTGTAATTGTTTAACTTGATGTTTTTTTTTTTATGTACCTGTCATTTACTTTAATGTATCTCTATTTATTATGTAACTTGAAATAGAGGTTTTTAATCTCAATGGGATTTTTTCCTGGTTAGATAAAGGTTAAATAAAATAAAAATAATAAATCAAACAACATTAAACTCTATTAATCATTAAAAAAAAATGTCTCTTTACCATAGAAAATGGATGGTTTAAAGGGTTATTATTATAAAGTGTAATTGAAAACAGGCAAATCAGAACCAGTAATCTTTTAGAAAATAAAAATGACCTCCTGCATATTCAAGGGTTTAACACATATTCTGAACATAAAATCTATGGTTTGTTTTTGTTTTAGGGTGTTTTTGTTTATTTTCTGTTTATCGGAGAGGATTAACAGGCCTGTTTATTTTGGCTTGACTTTGAAATGATCTGCATTGTGCTGTTTTTTCAAATCTGAGGCTAGACAGACCTGCTTCTTTATAAACTAAAGAGCTGGAATAAATCCTAATTCCTGCAGTTTCAGCTGATGTTCACCAGAGGCACAGATACAGGTGTTACAGGCTCCGGTTCTTATGTCGCTTATTTAATTTTCCTTTAATAAGGAAAAAGATAAACCTTAATTTAGTTGTTTACTATCAAATCATAATAATAATAATTGATCTGGTCTGTATACTATATTCTAAAAGTTTTAAATCCATCCTTTGTTAGTTAAAAAACAACAGGAATCAGTGTTTATCACGATGGAGGAGTAACTCTGACTCACCAATCCTTAGGTTCAGCTCCTGTGGTCTAACTGCGCCATTTTAGCCAGTTTGATCTTTCTTGTCTGCACATCTCTTTCTTTTTTTTATTTTATCGATGACTTTTCCTTTGCATTTATTAAATTATATTTAGTTACTTTAGAAGAATTGTTTCATGTTAGCAGGGTAGGACATAAAAAATTATGTGTTAAAGTAACTAAATATAATTAATAAATTCCCAAAGAGGTTGTATTATTTTATTTCGTTGTAAACCGACTGCTTTTACATGGGCTGATAATCGGTTAAAGAAGTGCAAAACATTTCAGCTCCTGGCTGCTACTTGACCTTTTAAATTTTTGCTGTTAGTGAATAATATAACTGTGGAATCTGTTAATAAGAAAATAATTCAAATAAGATTGTTCTTTCCTACTTTGTGTTTTCTCTGTCTCCACATCTTCCCATTTCTCTGTATTTCCTTTATCATTTGCTTTTTTTTATCTTTTCTTCCCTCATTTATCCCACTCCTCTCTGTGCCTCTAATAAATGAAGCTGATGTGTTATATGAGCAAAATCTCATCACTGACTTCCATACTAGTGAATAGTAATATTTTACCCCTGTAAAGAATTTTGAAAAACAGTTAACTTTATATTACCTTTAATACTTGCACCAATGCTTGTGTTTTAGCTTTTTAAAGCCCTTTATTTTACCTCATTATACTAAAAAACATAGAAACATCAATAGTTTAAGCTGCCAATTCTGCTTTCTACACCATATCCAATTTTAATCCAACTCAAATCCATTCTAAATGTATAAAACCTTCTGTACTGGATTAAAGCAGAATAAAAGGAAAGGTTGATATTTAC